TATAAATTCGTGAAAAAAAGCGCTTTCGACAAAATACTAAAATAGAGATCTATTGACAAAGACTACTCACTTCTGCCTAGTTTATGCTCTCTCTGGTTATTTCAGTTTTCGTTTTTAAAAGAGCTATATGTTGAGCCATCTCAGCTAGATTTGGCATGTGACATTTTTAGCGGCAATCGTTGGTCGATTTTCTAGCGTTGCCATTCGGGGAGTTGTAATGAGGCTTTTTTTTGTCGCCGTGTAAGAGAAATATATATATAAATTTGTGGCACTGTAGTGTTATTATTGTACAAGCATAATGTGTAGTGAAAATTAAAATTCATTTGTTTAAACAAATTTGCTGATAATTTTTGTAAAAAAATGTACTATCCGGGCAAGAAGGATCGGGCAAGATGGGACAGCCAAAGTAGAATAAAAGTGTTATTTAAAAATTAAACTCTCGTGATTTGGCACAAAACATAAAAAATAATGTAATATTAACAAAAAAAAATATGAACTAGCACTATATATACTTAACAAATTATTTAAAAAAAATTATAAAAATAATTTATAATTGATTAATTGACAGACTATATTCATGTTGCTTAGAATGGGCTCATGAAGCGCATTTTTTTTTCGATTATTCGTTTATTCTGACATTAATTTCTGTGATTTCTGAAATATAATTATTATCTGTCCCGGCTAGCCCGCGCAAGATGGGACAATGTTCTCTTTTTATTTATGTTAAGTTATTATTATTGAGCTTTATTATTTATTTATTTCTTGTATGAGATATGTACGAGTAAGAGCAATGTTCCCACTATATGTTTACAATATAAGATATATAAAATTGCTATAGTTTACTATTTTTTGAACCAAGTTTTCTTAAGCTGTCCATCTTGCCCGCTCTTCCACTATCACTCATTGTTTTCTTTTTTTTTTTTTAAATTTAAAGAATTATTGAAACGCAAAACTGATTCATATTGCTTTACAATAGCGAAATAGTTCGGTTTGAAGTACTTGTATTTAAAAGAATGTTTCGAAAATGTTTATAATATGGGCAATTGTATAATTAACCACATCAAAAGAGAAAATAATCAAATGTGCATGATAAATTTTATTTCTAAAAAATACTATAAAAACAAACAAAAAATGCTGTGAAGAAACAATCTTGTATAACTTCGACAATTTATAGTATTAAAATATTTCCCCACTAACATGATTATATAGATTAACATGTATAGTGAGATTGTTTTAAAATGCAAATTTAAAATTTTGAAACACTTTGGATCTAACCCTTTGACGCAGAATTTTCATGAACACATTTTTCATACTTTTCTCATTATTTTGCATTAATTTGAAATCAAAATTAAGTGAAAAAAATTATATCTAGCATTTCAGTAACTTTTGGTTATGAAGTACAACATCGATGTCCCGTTTTGCGTTAAAGGTAAAATTTTCCAAGCAAGACTCACTAAACAATAATTTTTCAAATTTGCACTTTTCTTTTGATCTCTGAGAGACAATAATTTTTCATTGAGATTGAATTTACAAAATCCATTGAGATTGAATTGAGATTTACATTGAGATTGAATTTACAAATGAATTTTTGAAATATGAATGAAAAAAGAAAGTTCAAACTGTTTCTCTTGGATTTTATATTTTAGAACGATATAATTGCGGTAATCAATCAGATTTTTTAATATCTATATTAGTCTGTTTATTATGATTAAAAAATACCAAAATATATTTTTACTTGTAATTAGAGCGTAAGAAAAAACACATAAAAGGGATGTCTGCGCCAACGGGTGAATCAGAGACTTAGTAAATACAAGTAACAACTTTTAAATTTCAAAGTAAATGCGCAACAAAATAAAAATAAAATTCTAAAAAAAACTATAGAATAGTCTTAGAATAAAAACAACTTGGTTCATTATAGCAGTTACACTGCTTTTGATCATTTTCACATTTAAAGTTATTTGCAAGTATTTAGCGGTTAATATCTATGCACTATTAACTATCACACATAAGTTTACAAAGATATTAAAATTAGTTAGCATAGTCAAACACTTAATGACTATTATAATTTTTACATAGACTAGACAAATATGGATAATTTAATGGCGATTTCCAACTTTATCCAAAAGTTCTTATGAAAATTTATCTAAAAGCGCTTTCTTCCATTTTATATCACAATAAAATATCAAACGTTATTGTGGATGAGATACTGTTAGAGCCCTAGATTAGCGGTTGCCAGTTACCAACTGCAAATGTTACATAGAAAATGGCAACCAAAATATCAATCCATAGTCACCAAAAGTGCAGACCGCGTTAAGAGCCTAATATAAAAATATTTAATACACCCGACCTGCGCTGATTCCGTCATAAATTAACATCTTATTTCCAGAAATTTTTTCAACAATTTCGTACATACTTTTTAAAATGCCGATGGTTTACTGCGATAATATGACATGTATCGAATCAAGCCTTTCTGCAATGAAATTTTGATTGACTCGATTTGCAATAAAACTATAGAAATAAAATTACCAGTATGCTGTAAAACAAATTTTATATCTCTTTTTAATCAAATCTTTAAAATAAAAAAAATTGCTTTGAATCATTTAAAAAAAGAACTGACTTATGTCAAATAAAATGATTTTTAACATAACGAATATATTAAATAGAAGAATGCGTTGAGAATAATTGTATAAAAGTGGTTTTCAAAAAGTACTATATTTTGTGTCATGGGTATAGTTCGCTCACCAGGAGTTGGCACTTGGCTCCGCCTTCTATCACGTGGTATCCGACCGTACTATTTCGCTATTTTTGGGAGAAGGATGTGAGCAATCCTGAACAAGGCTGCCATTTGGCGATTGTATGACCCAAATATTTATTTCGCAATATTTATGCGCATTTTTTTAACATTAAATATTTCCTAAATTTAAAATTTATCTGCTGTAAGTGAATAGCTTGTCCTTTTTGAGACATTTTGCGGCAAAATATTTCATTAACTAGAGTAACGAAAGGTATAATAGCAGATGATAAAGCAAAGTGACTCAACAAGAATTCGCTGTTTGCTTTTGGCGCTCATTAATGGTTGTCTCAATTTCAAGCATGGAGACGTTTCTCCTCCCACGCTGAAATGAACTCTTCGTCTGAGGAGGTGGAGCCAAGTCCCAACTCCTGGTGAACGAACTATAACCAGTGATTACTTTTAGCGATTGCTAATCTGGAGCTTCAGACACTTTTTCTTCATTAATCCTAATTGCAAGAACAAGGTGGTGATGTGTGAAAAAATAAAAATTCACAAAAATGACATACTTAATAAGTAAATTGCGTATGAACTTTCGTACAAAACCCTACATTTATTTCCTAAATTATTCTCAAAAGATAAATCGATACCATGAAGAAAAAAAAAACGCGTGTGATAATAACAGTTAATTGGATATAGTTGGAATACGCTTTTTATGATTTCATCCACAACAGCATATTACGTTTCCTTTTCGACATTTATATATACAATGACATATTAAAAACGCTGAAGTATAAAATACATTTTTGTTCAAACTGAAACATCACAAAAAACCACTAACTTTCCACCTCACAATAAATCACAGAACTTATCATATGTTCGACAATAAAAAAACGCAACCTGCTTATACATAGCTAGTTGATACAACTTAGAACTTCAGTCAGACTTCATAGAACTTCCAACTATTCAACAAAAAAGTGCTGGAAAAGTATGAAAATACTGCCATCAACTGATGATATTCTTCAAGTCTTGTTCGTAGTTAGCAATCAATAACATTATGCTTACTCCAGAACAAATACCAAGTAGTTGAATCGCTAGAAGTTGAGAAGGTTGTGTGTTAGAATCCCCAGAAGCGTTTAGTTCGGGAAGCTAAGAGAAAAAAGTGAATGTGTGAGATAGAAGTATATAATTATACATAATTTAATATCAAGTAACTTACTTGCTTTATTTTTAGATTAGAAATACAACACACAAAATAAAAAAAATTTACAATATAACATATTTTATTTTATAACCATCGTTAAACAGTCGACCCAATTTTGAATTTACGGCTACCAATGTTCAGCTTCGTATTCTTGCAATTTTGAACCCAATCCAGAAGACAAGGGAACTACTGGATCAAGTATTGGGAACAATTTGCCTTCGCGGTGGGCTTTATGAGGGAACTAACCAGCATTTGGATTACATAGAGAGGAAAACTACGAAAACCTCCCACGGTTAGCCTGACGGCAAGGGGATTTTTAACCCCTGATCTGTCTACCACTGAGATTTTGCGTCGGTACTGTGGTTCTGATGGCGCTGAAAAGCACTGTTAACAGTAGGAAACAATTTTTCTTCCTGTTACATGAGATTTTTTAACAGATCTAGATGATTTTGTATCGCAATCGGTTTCTCCCCCCAAGTTACAGTTTGGCCGAAATGTGCAAATTTAAAAACGTTTTATATAACAAGGGGTCGATTAAATATTGCGACAAACTTCCAGGGGAGTTCGGACACATCATCAGGATTAAAGCTACATAAAAACCGATGCCCGGAACTGTCGTCCTACTCCGTTAGGAGTGCTTCCCTTCCTATTATGAACTGTATACATGGGTTCCCATAAAATTTTAATCCTGATAATGTGTAATAACTTTCCTAGAAGTTTGTTGCAACATTTCTCCTGTTGCATGTAACGTTTTTAAACTTGCACATTTCATCAAAAATAATTTTCCCAACAAAATCCCAACATCCGAAAAGATTAAGCATTTGTCTAACTGCAACAAAAAAAATTTTCCCCAGTGTAATTAATTGAAATGCATTCATTTAGTTTAGACAAGGGTTTAACCTTAAAATGGCGGTGATTTTGTAGAAAATAAACCGTATTTGTGTTTTTAAAAGAATAGTAGACCTTATGTTTGAGATTGGCTTCATAGTGAAAGAATCTCAAAGAATTTACTTCACACTTATTTAATTTATTAGTATGTTTTCATTCAAATCCGTGAAACAGTGAAATATGTTTTAATCACATAACTAGTAAATAACTGACAGTTTAATAATTAGATTGGGAAAGCATATGAACTACTTCTTAAGCATACTAAACAGTTAAGTAATTAGTTAAAAAAAATTGCTTTCAAATAGTAGATTCAAACCATAATACACCTACCATGTCTACCAAAGCTATATAAAGGAACATGCCCGCCGTGGCAGCAAATACCCAACTAGTTGCAGAGTGAACATTACCCAACGAAATACCGATTCCCATTCCAATAAAACAGAGCACTGATGACAATCCATTATAAAATAGGGCTTCTTTCACTTTCATACCTGTTTTGAGAAGCATGGCAAAATCTCCTGTAATAAATAACAGTTTATGAAATAGTGGTGCATGAGTAAGCACGAGTGTTATAAATCAGAGTGATCTGTAACTCCTGCTTTTAATATATATTTTTAGTATTTTTATGAAAACAAAGTGATTAAGAGCGAAACAGAAAGAATTTTAATTAAATAATTTGAGACACAAGTGTTACCAAAATCTAAATCAATTAGTGAATATGTGAAAAACGAAAAAAAAATTCAAAACCAATTTATAACTCAGATCAGTTAGAAAAACATGTCTGCAGACATCGATGAGTTACAATAAATACGAAGAGCTAATTAATGATTGTTGTTAACATATTTAGAATTTTCAAATTAATTAAGTATAACTTCAACTTGCAGATTCGTTGTTTTTTCATCGTTTATTTATATCGGGATTTTTTAATTAAATATTCGTTTTTATACTTTTGACATTATTTTTAGAAAATGTTTTTAAAAGAAAGAGTAAGATCAGTAGTTACAAAATGTCGTGTATTCCAAAATCTCCTATAATAAATAAAAATTAATGAAACAGGGGTAACATGAGTAAGTATGAGTACTGCAATTCTGAGTGTTATTTTATCTCTGATTTTATACTTTTAAGACCTTTGTAAAAATAAAGTTATTAAAACTAACACAATAAAAATTAAAAACCACTGTTTAAGGGAGAAGAAAGTTATCAAAATCTGATACATTTGAATCTGTATTAATCATGAGGGAAAAAAATTAAAAACTGGTTTATTTGTCAGAAAAGCATAACAAACTTCTATTGGTTATAATAATCAAGAAAAAAATATCTAATGATTGTAGCTAACACGTTTATAATTTTAAGACCTGATTTAAATTACTGAAATATAACTTCAGCATGCGAAATCTTTGCTTTTTAATTATTTATTTCTGGATTTTTTTAAAGAAATATATGTATACTTTTAATTAACACGTTTGTAAATAAAGAAGTTTTGAGAAAAGTGTTTAATGAACATCAGGTATATATGTGCTTTAGTACATGCTCTAATAGATCAGAAGGCTTAAAAGCAAGATTATTTACCCAATTCATGAGGTAATTCATGACAAAACACAGCCACAGCAGTACTGATGCCTCCTTCAATACCAGAAGCAAACGCTGCACCTGAAATAAAGAAATGAAATTCTATACTTTGAACATATCGCTTACGTAAAGTTTTCAACCAGCGTTTATTACTTTCTACTACAAAAATATTTCAAATCAAATATTTCCCCTGAAACTTTGATACAACATAACAATTGGCAAAAATATATACTTTCATTGCCATTTTTTTAACGGTTCAATCTAGGACAAATGTAAAATGCAGTCCATGCCCTTGTTTTATTCATTTGTTTAGCTGTTACATGACTATTCAATTTCTAAAAATAAAAATTGATATACGGAGTATCCGGTGGATGACTGACTGATTTCAAAGTTAAAATATCAGGGGGAAAAAACGATAAAATCCTGAAAGAAACTGTGTATTTATTGTGAAAGCTGTAAAATTCACTCAGAATTTTTTTAAAATTAGTTACAAAAACTGCCAATAGATTTCAAAGAACAGTACATAGCTCTATCTGTTGACAGTTTTTTTTAACAAAATTTCAAAATTGCTGTTTTTACAGGTTTAATATGTTTCACCAAGCGTGAGAGTGGGAGAAATCCCTCGACCTAATTTTAACGAGCTGCAAGAAATAATTTTGCACGTCACCTTAGAGATCATCAGGATTAGTTCTCTAGTTTTTGCCTAACTTTTATATTGAAGTATATTTTACATTGATTAATTGATTTAGGTGTTCTTCCACCACCAAAAATGATTAAATAAATATAAATTTGGAATAACCTAGCTTGAGACCTGTTTTATCTCACCTCGTAGCAATGATAATATATTATATATCATTTGTTTTATTTCTCTATGAACCTTTGATTTCGAGATTTTTTGCTTTAAAATCAGACAGTCATCAGCATTTTAAATTAAATGAAGAAAGTATATCATCTATAAATATGCAACTTATATTTATAGCTTTTTTTCTCGAAAAAAATTTTAAAATTTTAATAATGAGTTTCAATATCATGTATAATTTGCTGATCTCGAACCAGTGTGTGCCATTCACTAGAATAATATTCCGCACTGCCAATAAACGTGATAATAACCACCACGTTTGAGCAGTTTTCTCAATTTTCACACATGCATTTGTTAGTGAATGCTTAGCTGCTTTTCCATTCATATGACGAAAATCACCTTTCTGCCCAAGGCTACCTAGTATATTCAGAGTTTTGTACACACGTGTTGACAGCTACTAATGTTCAACTCCTTAGCCCTGTAATTTTTAGCCCAATCCAGAATACTAGGGAACTCCTGGATCAAATATCGAGAGCCTTTGTGGAGGACTTTTTGAGGGAATTAACCTGCATTTGCGTTACATGGAGAGGAAAACCACGAAAACCTCCCCCTGGTCGGCTAACGGCAAAGTGACTCTAACCCATGATCCGTCCACAACCGAGGATATTTAACGTCTGCACTGTGGTCGGTAAGAGCCAGGTGTGGAATTCGAATCGATCGAGGATTCAAACCCGATTCCCTTCATAAGAAGAGGAATGTTCTATCCCCTGAACGAGCACATGTTGATCATTATAATTAAATCATTGTAAGACAACTCCATAACTAAAGTAGAGAGAGCAAAATAGATACCAATTGCTAATCCATCACAAAAATTATGAAGGCCATCTCCCATAATGACCATTAAAGCGACTGCAGAAATAGAATCTGGAACTTCATGACTGTGGTGATGACTATGACCATGACCGTTATTGACTACAGGTGCTTGACTTGGTTCTGGTTTATAGGTAACGCTGCCACAAGATTCGGAGCTGAAAGTTTTGGCACCATCGCAATTCATTTCCAAACTGTGAAGACTATCGCAAGATAGTTTTCTGGTGCCTCCTACCTGAAACACTGCAAAAATTAAGAAACGTTTACAAAATTTTCACCATTGCAATATAAGAAATACATAGTTGAAGTATGCATCTTGATTATCTTTTACTCATTTAACCTTTAATGCTTGACCTTTTAACTCAAAATTTCATAATAGTAAATTTCATAAAATGCTCAAGATATCTTTAGCTATCCAATAAGGATTGCCTTAATGAAAAGTGGGTAAGTGTGATAGTGTTAGAAACACTAAAGCGAAAGAATAGTCACCAAGTAATAAGATTAGAAAGGAATATGTAAGTGCACCGAAATTTCCGAGTATAGCTGATTTATCTATTCTAATGAGAGCATTTAATGTGAATGCAAAGTCTATCGAAAAAGGATGCTAAGCGAATCCTCTGCCGTTTGTGTTTTCAAAAGTATGTAAGAAAATAATTTTAGTGTGTGGGATAACTTTTGCTTAATGCTGCTACAACAAGTAGACCACATGCGATGGTACAACACGGAGCACCGTTAGCAAAAGGTTAAAGATCAGGAGAATTTTTTGAGCTGTTGGTGCTGCAAATTGGGTAAATTTTTTTAAATCCATATTGGAAAATAATTTTTATACTTATCTCATTAAAATCCATTTATGATGAACAACTCCAGAAACGTTTGTGCTAGGATTCTGAAATGTCAACATTGACTACAAGAAGCAATTTTAACCCCCAATTAGAAAAATCGTTTGAAAATTTTAATTATTCCGTTCGGAAGAAAATTAATATTTTTCGCATTAGTTTAACATTTGTTTTCATTATATATAAGAATGTAAACGATTTTGTTTTAGATTTTATCGCACGTTCTTCAATGTTCAATTTTTTTTTAAAGTTTTGTCATCAGCGTGAATGACATGTGGTTCGGTCCCACGATCAAAAGTTATCTAGAAAAAGGTCTCTAAAGTTATCTAAAAAGGGGATTTCTAAATCTTTCTGAAACCACCTGCTTATTTTGCTTATAATGATCTTTTAAAACGTGTTTCTGAGAAGAAAAAAACAGGGGAAATTTTTCGAAGACATAATGAATTCTGAAACAAAAAAAGTATAAACTTAATAATTTAAAAACTTTAAAAAAAACTACAACTTTGCTACATTGAAAAGTAATTATCAAAATATCCCATGGACCTCAAGAAAAATCGAGTTTATATGAGCTCTGCTAATTTTCCAGGTATAAGGTTCACTTTACTCAAAGTTAATTTTACATTCTGTTACAAGAATTTCTAATAAAATTTTTAAAGAAAGCAGATGAAAAATTGGTCGTTTTTGAATAACATCAAATAAACCACCAACTTTTCATCTGCTTTCTTTCAAACTTTTATATGAAATACACATTTGAATATAAATTTTAGATAAAATGAACACTGAAGCTGGAAAATTAGTTGAGACCACATAAACTCGATTTTTATAAATTACACGCGATATTTTTTTTCCTTTTTTCGTGCTGAATAGAATTGCTTTAAAATTTTTCATGTTAGTTTTCACATTTTTTTAGAAAGATAAACTATAGTACCATTATAGCTAAATTTCTATATACTCTTTATAAATCTCTAAATACAAATCTTTAAAAAGTTCATTAATAAAGAGTAAAAAAATGACTACTGGATTGAAAAAATTTTAAAAATGACATTAGATTTGAATATATGTTTTCAGTAAGCAAGCAAATAAAAAAATGAATAATAAATAACTGAAACTAAAACAGTGAAAAAGTAAATAAAAAAATAAGACTACATGCACGGTAAAAATATTAGTTTACCACTACACCAAAAATGTTGGTAACTATACACAACATTTTTTATAGTGTTTTTTAACAGTGATTGCGAAGAACATTTTTCTCACCACTTCAGATATACAAAAAAAATCTTTTCAGTAGAGTTACATACCTAAATTAGCATATATTTAATAATATGCATCTTTACTTCCTTCAGAAACTAATAAAAACGAAAAAATTGTGCCAAATACTTTAGTTTATAAAGGAACTTAAAATTTTAAAAATGTAGCTCATACATTTTTTTTTCTCAATAAACTCTTCAAATATTAGGCAACATCATCTAGTTTTGAGAGAAATTTCTTACTTCTAACCATTTCTTTTTCATTAGGATTTATGTTGAATGAGCTATTCCTATACTGAGACAACTTCTCGCCAACATTTCCATTGTAAGTAGCTGGAGAATCGAGGTTCAAATCAACAACTTTCATTCCTATATTTTCTTTCTTTTCTTTTCTGTACGAGGCATAAGTGGCTAGTAAGCGTTCGGCCACAAAGAAGAAGAATATTCCAAAAAGAGCTGCAAAACCACGCCAAATGGCTGCTCTTTCAGTTTCAACCAATGACAAAGGATCGCCGTGACTGTGTGAACCTTCTCCACCAAGCATAGCCTAAAGAATAATTTCAAGTTACATATAAACAAAATTAAAGCAAGAAACATTTTTTAAGAAATTCGAAATCAATTACAAAACTATATTTCCAAATTACTCAAACTTTTAGGAATAATAATTGAAATGTTAAGATAATAGGGAAAATTTTAATTAAATTCGAAATACAATTACGACGATATCTTGCTTTTTTATTCTTAGCACATGGTGAAGTATTAAAAAATCTCTATGACTTTGACATGTTTTCAATACTTTTTCTTTGTCTTATTTTTTTCTTTATTTCTATGTCTGCTGTTTTTAAATAACTTTATCAAGCTTTTAAAATTTGCCTGGAACTAAATTGATCTTCAATCCTTCGATCTTCTGTCATATTAAATATTATCAAAGTTCTTATCAAATAGCAAAACAAAAAAGCAGAAAACAAAAAAGTCGGAGTTTAAGTTCCTCATAAACTCAAAGCAAATCTTTAAATTTTGAAATGTCTTGCATTAAAATATTATCTGGGCTATAGAATGGACAAATAGATGAACTATTTAAAAAAATATTAATCTTTTTTTTAAAAAAAAATTGCCAGTTAGACGAAATTTTTTTCATGTGGATAAAAATCACTAATATCAATGAATAATTCTCAATTTTTGAAGAAACTTTTCAAACATCAAAAACTATTTAACACTAAGTTTACGGACGTTTCTTATATACCAATCTCTACGAACACTCGTCAATTTGACGCATGAACCAATACATCACTAGGTTTACGGACGTTTCTTATATACCTATCTCTATTTTTCAACATTATTTGTGTTTTATGTATGTTTAATGTATGTTTTGTATGTAGAATGTATGTTCTACTCTCGTGTGTACTTGAATAGGGCGGTTCGAGATATGAATAAACAACATATCTATCTCTACGAACACGCACCAATTTGACGTATGAAAGAATACATATATTGTGATTCTTAATTTAATAAATTCAATTTAGTAGATTTTTATCCACCACTATTTCTAAATAATTCGTAGGCCTATATAATTCACCACTTTATATTTTCAAAATTTACTTTGTTGTTATTTCCCATTCTTTTAATTATTTTCGTGTGTCCGGAGCAGTTGGCATCTCTGCACTTACAAAGCAATGTATACTATAAGAAAAAAAATGAAGATATGAGATATATATTTATGAAATATTCTAGTATTTTATGTTTCAATACTCGAACTAAGCAACTGAAACCTTCAAAATCTGACACTCTGACATTCTGCTTTTGTTCTTTCTATTATTGCTTATCGGCAACAGTTGTTTATCACATGTTTTATTTGAGTTAACGAATCGAAGTATTGTCGGTACATTCCTATTTATTATTGATGTGATAATTACTTGTTTACTCAAACTTTTGTCTAAATTATGATCGCGTCAAATTGACGCATATCCGTAGAGATAGGTATACCACATAGAGAATTTCAATATTTCTACGCTTTTGAGGAAAATAGCCCTCAATATACAGGGTGTGTGTAAAGTTCCGGACCCATTTTGATGTTTAATAACTCATTAAATAATGAAGATAGATTAAAATTAATAACATAAATGGTTAGATAGACTCAAAAAGTTTTATGACCCTTGTCAATGAACTTCCACGTGTGCTCCCTTCGTCGCACGGAGAATATCAAGTCGATAGTCAATTTCACGCCAGGTAGCGGCAAGCATGTCGGCATCCACAGAGGCTATTACGGTTGTAATTCTGGTTTTTAGGACATCAATGTTCGTCACGATGTTTACAGGAGGATCTCCTGCAAACATTGTCCTTTATAAATCCCCAAAGAAAAAAAGTCCAGCGGCGTTATATCAGGTGATCTGGGTGGCCAAGGAATTGGACCTCCTCGCCCAATCCATCTTCCTGGAAAATTGTCATTCAAGGAACTACGAATGATGATACCCCAATGAGGTGGTGCACCATCTTGTTGCAAAAAGACATGTGGCTGAAGCTCATCTAGTTGTGGAAATACGAAGTTTTCCAACATGTCTATGTATACGACTGATGAGACCGTCTTTTCTGTTAAAAAGAAAGGCCCAATGACTCGGTCGTGCATTAGTCCACACCACACATTAACGTTTGGGGAATCCTTTTGTGTCTCACAGTATTCATGGGGGTTTTCAGATCCCCATATGCGCACATTATGGCGATTAACAATGCCAGAAACATGAAAGGATGCTTCGTCGGAGAACATTATGGGCTTCAGAAAATACTACCAATACCTGGCGTGAAATTGACTATCGACTTGATATTCTCCGTACGACGAAGGGGGCGCACCTAAGTTCATTTACAAGGGTCATGAAACTTTTTGAATCTATCTAACCATTTATGTTATTAGTTTTAATCTATCTTCATTATTTTAAGAGTTATTAAACATCAAAATGGGTCCGGGACTTTATAAACACCCAGTATATTTACTTCGATCAATGGTTAAAAGTCATTACAAGAGATAAAATAAAAATTCAAACGGGTTTTATAATTTTCCTTACAAAACTCGAGATGCGTCAAAATGATGTGTCCCGTAAACCTAGTGTTAAATAATGCTTTTCGTTTATTTTATTCTTAATTTTGGTTCTTCTTTATTGACAAGTTGTACAACTTGTACTGAAAATGCTACATAGCATTTTCAGATTTACTATAGACTATATATTATTATAGGTATATTACTATTTAGGGCGTTGACGGAAGATAAGAAAACTTAAGCTCTTTCACCCAGGAAAATGAAGAAAAAATAATGATTTTTAAAAAACTAATTATTTAACTTTATTTTGGTGGTCAAGGAGAGATTCATCCACCTGGATGAAAATCATTAAAATCAGTGTATAATTCTTTATTTTTGAAAATTTTTATGACCACAGTCCATGCAGCGAAGGAGTAACTTTTCAAATATATCCGTTTTTCATGTCACAAATCTACGAAATGTTTTTTTTCTCCAGTTATAGAATTAATATGAAAGACACTGGTTTAAAAAAAGGATTGACAGGCATGAGTAACTGTTACAAACTCAGAACAGCTATAAAAATAGCATGTCATTTGCTAGGAAGTGTTATTTAATGAGACGGCAGAGCTTTTCGAAAAACAGCTATAACATAATAGTCTTGAATAGCTGTTTAGAAATTATGAAATTGGCATAATTTTCACCGAAAAAAACAATATTTTATGACGGAGTTTGCAAAACACAGCCTTAAAAGATAAGGGCACTAAGAAGTGGACTACACTATTTGACTGGTATAAGTCAGGGCTAAAGATAATAGAAGGGCTAGTTCACTCCTTTGAAGTAACTCTTGCCGCGCCAATTCTCCGATTTTCTCCAGTGACGTCACTTTGGCGCAAAGCTCGCACTTTTACTTAAAGAACGAAGCGTTCGGCCTTACTAGCTCTAACTAATATTGGATCATTTCTTTTTACGAGATATTCTGAGACATTTGTTATTTTCTATAATGACTTTCCTCAGTTTTTGCAGTGAATTTACAAGAATTTAAAACTATNTAATCGTTATACAATAATAACGATTTTATTTATAATGATATCGTTTTTATTTATAATAATATCGTTTTTATTTATAATAATAATCGTTTTCATTTCTAATTTTTATAATAATAATCGGCAATAAATATCGTTTTTGAATAAGCTACATTTTTTGTAATTTTATTCAAAAATAAGTAAGTTTTATTAATCAGTTAGATAGTTCACTCTTGTCGGTCAGAACTGTATTCTTTATTTCAAAATGATTTAAAAAACACTATTTATAAGTAGATTTTAATGGTTTAAAGAAGTTTAGTTAATTGTGCAAAAATGGTTACAGAAGCTTATTTTAAAGTTAAAACACGCAAAACAAATTTTCTTTGAATATTCCCAAATTATTTTTCTAGTCAAAAGCAGGAAGTAAATTTTAAACAGTCACATTTCTCTCTGGTTTAATACATTCAAAATTCCATCAAAATTAGGTGTTTTCACTGAATTTAAGATAGAATTCTTGTTCATTTTTTTTTTGCATTTCCTTCATTGTTTGTCTTTTTTTAAATGTTGTAGGAAAAAAATTAATTAATTTGCCTGAATATAAATGAACACAATTACAAGGGGGAATAATTGACTTTCAATTTTTTTCTGATGTAATTCAGAATATTCGAGACAATTAACTCGAAATAAGAAAAAACACATATCTCGTATTAAAGTCATTATCAATTTACCGCCGATATAAACTTTAACGTTTGTTTCGTTCTCTCTACTTTTATTAATAAAAAAAATATATATTGGACATCCATTTAATAAAAATGAATGTTTCTTTTTATCTTTTAGGTTAAGAGCGATCGTAGCTTCAGCTCTAAGAGCGGAGTGAACTAGCCCTTCTATTCTCTTTAGCCCTGGGTATAAGTAAGCGATAATGGCAGCTGTTTCTTTTCTCTGAGTATTAAAAAATTCGTTGGGCGCAACTGTCTTAGGTGCTCATCATAACACATATTTTGCTTTAAAACTTAGAACTTAGAAAACTATAAAACTTAGTATCTTGAAGTTACTAAGGTGTGTTGAAAAGAGTACAGGAATTCCGTTGGGATTAAAAAAAAATCAATAATTTGTTCGAGAATTATTAACTGTTAAATTTGTTAGGAAAAATACAATACTGGTGGCTCTACAGAACGCAGGAATGTAACAACAGAGTTGAACTTTGGCATGCTGAGAAGATCACGTTAGTTTATGAACTTAAAACTGATTTTTTTTTAAATTCTAAATTATTTGAAAGTTAATGCAATTTTAATTATTTTCTTTTCAAATTTTTCTTCACTTTTGTTTTATTTAACGTTACATTTTTCCTTGCTACTCAAAATTTATAAAACTTGGAAATTTGAAATCACGAGGGCATGTAAAAAAATGAACAACGAGTTTCTAGGAATAAAAAAAAATACAATTTGAGTTTTAATTCTAGAATCATTAACTGTTAAACTTGCAGTAAAAAAACATGTTCTTGAAAATACTGCCCATTCAAATGCAACTACACAATTGAAATTTAATATGATAAGACCATTTTGTACTACAATTTTAAAAATCCCATTTGTTTGAAAGTTGTTGCAAATTTAAGTGCTTTTTCGTGATTTTTTTCAGTTCTTTTGCGTCATTGAATATTTATCCATTGTTGTAGAAATTGTAGTCATATTTTCCCCTCACGAGATCATTATTTCATAACCTTGCACTCAAAAAACGTAAATAAAAAAGCAGCAAAAAAAGAAGAAGAAAACGATAAAAAGAAAGAGAGAGTTGCCAGATATAAATTTTAATATTTTAGAGAAAGTATTTAAAATAAAATTTAATAAAAATTAATAAAGAGTGATACGAACCATTTATTATTTGAATTGTTATAAGTTTCATCAGCGAGTAAAATTTCTTATCGTTTACTTTTTCTTATTGAATCTCGCAATCTGTATTTCTTAAGTCAAACTTTCTCGCAGTACAGATTGATTATTTTTCAAATCGTTGTAGCTGTCCATTTCATTATGACTAGCATGTTAACAAAATGCTCCTACATAAAGCTAAAATAATTGTTTACCTTGAAACTTAAATGATCTGTGTTTTTTTACAAAATATTAAAAATAAATTTAATATTTACGGGGATTAGCGAACGGAGTCAGCAGGGAGCGAAGCCTGCTTGCAAGGCCGGCGGTAATTTGTTGCATTCCATGCCAACTGAAACGAATAGTAGAATTCCAAGCTTAACAGAGGAGAAATCACACAGGTATTTTATCATAAAAAATGTATTAAATATATGTAAAAACAACAAATTGTGCAATAATATGCTACTTTAAGATGCAATGTTTAATTAAACGTCATATCTCCCAGCAACTATTTGTCAAATTTGCAAAATGTCCCCTCTGTTACATTGCAGTTTTTGAAGATAATAAAATTGTGAAGATAATATAATTGTGTTACCTTGAAATGTGATAATTAAAAAAAAATTACAAATAATGTTTAGGATGTTCCAGATCACAGAATATAGCGGAAACAACAGTGCATGCCAAAAATGCGGGATTTTCTTTGTCCCCTCTGTTACGGACGCTTTTAATTACCTGGCAATTAAATTATGAAGCTCTTTTTAGTATTTTATGCAATTAAATTAAACATTGCCCCTTAAAGTAGCATATTATTGCACAATCTTTTGTTTTCACATATATTTAATACATTTTTTAGGATAAAATACCAGTGTGTTTTCCCCTCTGTTACGCTTGGAATTCTACTGTTACTTGTTTAAGCCCATTACTTCAGCTGAGATATTGTAAAACTTTAATATCCCATGAAAGATAATTTCAAATATTAAAATGGCAATTCCTTATTAATAATATTAGAAGAACAGTACCTACGTGAGGCATAAGATGAAGCAAGGCATCTCCAGATAAACTTCCAACAGCCAGGCCAACCAAGAACTGCAATAACGTATGATAAAACCACTTCTGCATAATGGGAATAACAGCAACACTCAACAAGCCGCAAAGACTTATGATCAATACAGCAAAGCTTGAAAACAGCCATTCTAAGAGAGACGTAAAGAAGATTTAGTGAAATAGAGAGATTTTTCATTACCACCTATTGAAACCCACATAGACAGCATTTTAATTGGCGGATGCCCATGAAACTTGATATGCAATTTATATGGATCTTGGAATTCGAATATATGATTTTTAGATCGTACGAATTTTGATGGCGCACATATAAAATTCAATTAGTAAAGACCATTTTTCAAGGAATCATATATTTTTCTCAATGTGTATTTCATTTTGATCAAGCACATATTCAATACCCGTTGTGGCTCAAAGGATAGAGCTCTCACAACCCCATGAGATGACTGGGCTACGAATTCCGCACTCGGCTCTCACCGACCACAGTGCTGATGTTAACTATCCTCTGTGATAGATGAATCATGGGTTAGAGTCTTCTTGCTCTCAGATCAACCATGGGATGTTTTCGTGGCTCCATGTAACACAAATGCTGTTTAGTTTAATCTAAAAAGTCCTCCACAAAGGCAAATTTCTCCCGAGTTCCCTTGTCTTCTGGATTGGATTTAAAATTACAATGCTGCGAAGTTGAATTTTGGCAGTCGTAAACCCAAAGTTGTGTTCGCTGTATATATATATATATATATATATAAGTTCAAAATGAAGAATAAAACAAAGAAAAATTATAGACATATGAAAAAAAGGGGGTGGGAAATAATAAGTAAAAAAAAACAACAAACATTTTATTTAAAAAAAAAAAAAAAAAAAAAAAAAAAAAATAAATGAAATGTTAATTAAAAAACCGGAAAANGTGTATTAGAGAAAGTACATATGGATGTTTGGGGTAAAAGTCCAGTAAATTCAGTTGGCGGAGCTGAATATTTCGTATCTGTAATAGATGATTTTTCTCGTTATGTTGAAATTTTTACTACTTATTTTTACAAAGAGAAAGATGCAAAGATATATATATATATATATATATATATATATATATATCAATTAAATGCTGCCACATGACAGAATACTGTCGTTCTGACGTTACAGTTTTTACCAGAAACGATTACTTTTTTTGTTACACCATGATGGAGAATCATTGTAAATTTTCACCCGCCAAAGCTACGCCAAATCCAATTAAATCCTTTCTCGCACATGGAAAGTTCCATCTATTCAATTTAAAACTACTTTTTATTCATCACTATTATTATTAAGATTTCACTTTCCAATGGTCCATATATAACGCACATACCGATTTTTATCTGTCATTCGTTAGCCCAAACACATTCTAAGTGAGTCTAAACATGGTAACTTTAATTATAAGCACCATGCATTTTAAAAGAAAGCTTAGAATGTGTAAAGGGAAATATTAAGTGTTAAACTAATTGAAAAGAAAAACTACCGTAAATTGATATTGAGTAGAAATACGTGCCTTCCTTGAAATTAAAGATGAAGTTTGTTAAATTAGCGACAATCCACAATTAATAAAACCTGATATTGTGGTTATGCATTCGAAATTTATCTTCAATTTGTTTTTCTTTTCATCTAAAATATTTTATTATTTATGAACTGAAATAAATGCAGTATTTATTGATGCCCAACATGATCCTCGCAACAAATTCAAGTAAAGTTGAATAAATGTAACTAAAAACTAAGTTTGACGCAAAAAACATGATGGAATATAAAGGGTCGAGAGAGAGAGATATTATTGGCCGAGAGAATATATTATTAACTTGCAGTTCTAGATCACCAATTGGTTGTAATTGTTAGGTGAGGCTACGCTACACAAAATAATAACTGCAATAATAAAAATTAACTGATCAAACGGTCTTTAATACAAAGTTTTTTCTTTAAAAAAATAAATAAATAAATAAAAAAAAAAACGAACGTATAATAATTGGAAATAGCATTTTTGTACCAATTCAGTTTATATTTTCAAAGTAGGCAACGCTCTAAACGGTATTTCATAATTTATGAGGTCAGTCATATGTTTTTTACCACACATGAAAACTAATTTTCTCACGTAGTTCATGATTAAGGCAAGACACTACACTGTTTCGATTACATGATGAAGGAAGTTTGTTTTAAAAAGAAATTACAAAATGAAAGAAGCTTATTTTTACATTGCATTGAAAAAAAATACATACATGTATTAAAACAATCTCATTAAAACAAAATTTGTGAAAGCAAAAGATTTGAAATATTTCATTTCATTTATTTTTATTTTTACTTTTATTTTATTGATTTATTTTTGCGAACACAATTTCTGTGTCAAAAACAAGACTGAAGAAGTTATTAAGAGTTATTTAAATTTAAACAAAAAGGGAGATAAAAACGAAGAATAAGAAAGAAAAAAGCACATCACTTCAAATAAGTGTAAATTATTTAAAAGATAACACCTAATCATTCATCTAATAGAGTCAAAAGTCACGTTTATTAATTTGTATTTCTTTGAAAAAAGATTATGAATATATTCAATAGATTATTATAATTATTTAAGAACCATTATGATTCATTTGATTTGATTTATATAGCCGTCGTTAAATAGCCGACCCAGTTTTAAGTTCACGACTATCAATGTTCATCTCCGTAACCTTGTCATTTCGAACCTATCCCAGAAGACAAGGGAACTCCTGGATCATGAATTGGGAGAAATTAACCTTCGTGGAAGACATTTTGATGGAACTAACTTGCATTCGCGTTACATGGACATAGGACTACACGGATGCCGAATTCGTATCGACCAGCCATCGCCGATATTTGAACCGGGTTCATCCAATTAGAAGGTGAATGCTCTATCCCCTGAGCCACCAAGACTCAAGTATTATGATTCACTAAAAGAAGTTTGTTCTATTAAGTAAATTTTACTTTAAGGGGGCTAAAGCTCATGTTTGCTACCACCCATTAAACCCGATGATTGCTTCGCAAAAATTCTTGTCTCAGCGTAAAATTGTTTTTCTTTTGCAAAGTTTGAATTGAACTGGGGAATAATTATTTATATTTTGCATGAGATTTTTTAACAGAACTTTGCATGTTTGCGCATTGATAATTTTAAATATGCAATATGTTCCTCCGGATATTTTTTTTGCCGAAATGTATAAGTTTAAAAACGTTAGAACAGGATGTTGCAGTTTCTAGGGGATATGGAACATCGTCAGGCTTAAAATTACATAGGAACCGATGCGCATAAATAACGTCATACGCCGCTGAGGGTGCTTCCCTATCATGAATAGTTTCTTTGTGTCCTTCTGAATAGGTCATAATAAAGAAAGAATTCTCTTAAGGAATGGAAGCTAATGGATATCCTTTTAACCCCTTAACTTGTTTTTCACGAATTCTACCCTAAGTTAGCCCTAACCGATTTACCAGTATGCTTTTTTCGTCAAAATTCAGGCAAAAAAATGGACAGTTAAGGGGTTAAAAAATCTGAGTCTCACTGTTAAATATCAATTTGGAATCAAATTGTTTTGTCTGTAACATAATTCCTTCACTTTCACAAGTTTTCTGAAAATGTATTGTAAAAGTGGTATTTAAAGAACACTTTTTACTTACGATCAGACGTAGATACAGGCTTGGACGTAGTATGGGAGTGTTCTTTAAAAAGGCAGTGACCTTGATCAAGCTCGTATATAATTGCTGGACACAAATGCAAGAAGCTGACAGGATTCAAACTACTGGTCTCATCAATTCCGAAAGCCTCCAATATCTCACGAGGACTGAGACACTGTCGAGAGGAAACAAGAATAAGACACAAAATCAAATCAATAATATCAGATTAACCAATAATAACAAAACAGAGAGAGATTTAAATAATCTGAAGAATTCTTGAATGGAATTAGAAAAGACTGTGTCTATTTCATTTCGATATGACACCTTCAGAACCGGTGAAAGGAAAAGGAAGCACTTCTCCAGTCCCTTTTCCGATTTTACACGTAAATAGTAAGCATACGTACTAATACGAGAGTACGATATTGAGATCTTGGCCGTGAAATAGGAAATCGTGCAATCACATTTACTATGATCACGGTCCTGAAAAGTTTAAACGTAAGTTTTTTTTAATGAAAATCTCATTTCATTTTATCAGCTTTTGCCAGTGCTTTTCTTTATTGAAACGTTGATATTTTAGCGATTTAGTTGCGTCTATAGTGTTTTAATTTAATCTCTAGAAGCAATTATAATCGGTTTTGAAACAGCACTTCTACTTCTTTGGAGCACTTTATACTTTTAGAGCAGTAATTTTAATTTATCTGGAATTGTGATCAGAAATCAAATTTATAAATGCAGCATAAACAGCTTATCAACGACTAACTGATAAAACTTAACTGAGATCGACATTCTTTTCGTTTTGAAACAAAAACCATTTTTAAAGCAACGGTACATTCCCAGGAAAAATGGTTCTATGTTGAAGTATAGTAATACAATATAAATTTTCTGCAAGCTGTTAAATTGAACCTTCTTACGGTTAAAGCTGAACCATAGTATTGTGCAACCCAGTTCAAGGGTAGTTTTGCACGGAATTCTCTGCAACCTTAATATGATGTGAAATTGAATCTAGTTCCCGTTAAAATTGTGCCATAGTAACGTGTAACCAATTTCAAAGGTTATTTTTCGCGAAATTTGTCGTAGCCTTATTAGGTTGTTAAATAGAACTTTTTTTACCGTTGAAGTTAAACCATAATATTGTGCAACTAAGTTCAAGGGTTATTTTTTATGAAATATATCGCAACCAGCATAAGTTGTTAAATTGAACCTTGTTACCGTTAAAATTGATTTAGTAATGTGTAACTAAATCAAAAGGCTACTTTTCCCCGAAATTCGCCCCAAGCTTAATAAGTTGTTAAATTAAACTCTGTTACTATTCAAGTTGAACATAGTAACAAGCATAGTTTGAATTCAGGAAGGGTTACTTTTTCCGATAATGTGGCTCAATTTATCTCTTTAAGATTGCAGAAACGAACGATAATACTGATAATACGATAAGACGCTCCAAAACTTCTGAGTAGGATAAATAGAAAAAATTGAGCGATTTTGTGATGCTTAGTATAGAGCAGATAAGACAAAATCGACAAAAAGTCGACAAAAAACTTTTGTCGACTTTAATCGACAAAAGTTTAGGCCTTCCATCTCATAGCTGAAATTTGAAGTCATGGGGGAATTAAAATTGCTATCACGTTTAAAACTGAGATTTTTCGATAAGTAAAATTAAATTGGTGAATGTGGCGAATCACTAAGTGTCTTTTCTGAACGTCGAACTGAATATCCTATTTTTCTAGTATTCACTTCACTTATTATTGTTCATAATATTTTTGAACATATATATTATTGACTTATACTTGACGATAAAATTGTAGCTGGTGCCAATAATGCTCATAATGACTTATTTTTAGTGCAAAATAAAGGATTGTTGTGCCTTTTTTCAAAATGATGAATCAATTAAGAACAAAACATAGTTTAAGAGCTCTTATTCTGTCTTTCAAAATTCCGTAACTGGTCTTCAGTAACTTACCAGGAACTTCAGATTTGCGGAATTCCGAAAATTCCACAAATATTTAAGATTTTCAAAAATTTGACTCTATTTTTTGAAAACTCATTTTAAAATTTCTCATGCAATGAATATTAATAGATTCAATGTAAAAAAATATATAGCTGTAATTGACCAAAAACAGGTTTCAACGAAAACAAACAATATCAATGATCTCGATCAACTGTAATTACCGACCTTGTACTTGGTTACTGGTCATTGCGAAGGCTATCTGTTCAGCTTGGAATTCATCCAAAATTTGTTATTGGTTGTCATAAATTATTAACAATGCCAAATGCCCCAAGAGAATCAGTGTCAATGTGTTTATTAAAACTCGGTAGTGCTATTTAACAATATCTTAATAATAGCAGGCGCTAAAAGTATCTGATAAAAATTATCTAGTCACAGCAAAACTACCAAAAATTCTAATAGTTAACTAACACAAACATAAAAATAACTAATTTATGATTGTTAGGATCATTACGTGAGGGAATTTTTATAAAATTGTATAGGGACAATATAGATTGTGCAATGATACTGAATCATCGATAAAGAACAGAATTACAAATTTGTATTATGTTGTTGAATAAATACATACCGGGTCTCCGAAAAGTACGGAAAAGTTAAACTATGTCCAGAAATATTCATAGAGTTTAAATTTTAAAAAAAACATCAGTAAATATTTATATTGAAATATTTTTAAAAGATTTATTAAATTACAGAAAATTCAACTACCACTTTCAACTCTCTAGTTACAACTTCTAAATCTTAAATACATGATCTCATTTTTTCACAAATTTGGATTGTTCAGAAAAAATTCATTCAACTATGCTGAAATGTGAATCTACCATGTACAAATTTACAATTTTGCATAACAAAATGAATTTTCTGAAAATATTTCACAATCGCACTTTTAGAGTTTTTAAACGATGAATATTTCTCGAGATACATGATCTTTTCTGTACTTTACGGACACCTGATACGTGTCCATTCATCAACACAATACAACTTTGTAATTCCGTTCTTTTTTTCAGTTTGTACGCGTTTATTTATCAACATAATACAATTTTGTAATTCGATCCGTTCCTTTTTGATGAACATGTATTATTATAACTCAATCTATATTGTATTATGTTACTATTTTATTTAAAAAAAATCTATCAAGTCATTCGTCAGATATCAAGACGATAATCAATCTCCCTTTATGCCTTAGGAAACATCTCTAAAGTAGCAGTTTCAGTTCTAGTTATCATTCAATTTTTTAGGTGGCTGATATCAATTATTGTTTCACAGCAATTCTTTGTGAAGAAAAAACTTACAGCCTTTCACTAAACTTTTACACAAGAATTATTTCTACGCATTCAAATTTAATTTTACTCTCTTTTAATTTAATTTAATAAAATTATGAAGAAGAAAATTAATAGTTTTTCACTAATGCGAAACATTAGAGGAAAGAGGAATACTTTAAAGCTGATGTTTTGTGCTATTTTTAACGAATTTGTTTTAAATTTTCTAGATGAAATTTTTGTTTTTAACTAAAACTTGCTCTAAAAATTTTGTTTTGATATTTTTACAGTTAAAATAAGAAAATGCAAAGCAAAAAAAAAAAAAAAAAAAAAAAAAAAAAAAAAAAAAAAAACGATTTTTTTTTTTTCTTTTAAATTTCCGATGAGCTGCACAATCGGTCTTGCCGATGAGCAGATCTAGTGCGTTCTACAGTGGTGGTATCCACTCTTTCAGGACCACAACGGGTGAGATACCGTTGGTCATGTTAATTTGGACGTCTACTTTCTGCCACACTAGATGGCAGCACCGAGACTATTTGGATGCTAAAGTGCACTAGGATTTTAATTTTGGCATAAATGCCAAGAGCCAATAAGGCACTCCAGGGATCTTTTACATGCCGCATAATCATACGACATGGCCTCTGAGGATTTTCAGCATCCCGAAAATCTGGTGTCTGGGCCGGGGATCGACCCGCAGACAACGACAAACCAACTGCACCACCCAGCCACAAAAATGAAAAATAAAAATATCTATATATCTCTGCGGATATTAAAGCTAGGGCCAAGTATATATGTTTCATGTGTCAAATATCCCCTAGATGGCGCTAAAGAGTTTCTTACATGAAATAGCGTTGTGATTTTGCGCTGGGACATATATATCCCACCAGTATTTTTCATTGAGACAGATATATCCCATTCGTATTCTTCATTGGGATTGTTATGTCCATTCATACTTTATTCATATTTTCTCAAATAAACAAGAAAAAGGAACAAATATGAGTTGTCCAATGCGTAATGTCGGGTTATGCAAAGATTGCTTCACCCTGTATCATACCATGTAAAAAAAAAGTCCATATAATACATTTTTTCGGAATGATAGCGTGTGCTTGTAGATGATGTGCTTGTAGTAAGTCGATCACTACAGGTGGGACATATGTATCCCACCATTAAGAACGGCTGAGACATATATGTCCCAGCCTCTAAATTGATAACCGCTTGTCAGAAAAATCCCAAATACTAAATTTGCCTTATTTGTGACCTATTTAGTTTTTTTGAATAATAAACGGGACAAAGGGACAAAAAAAATCATTTTTTAAGATTCGTAGTCAAAGGGTTAAGCAATTAAGTTGAGGAGAAAGACCTAGCTCTTATGGAAAAATGTTTTGCAATCTCTGGAACACCTTGCATAGCCAACTGAGGGGAGAAATTTTCATTTCAACAGCCCTATATTTTGTATAAATTAATTATGGTAGTCACATAATTTTAATTTTCAATATCTTACTTGCTCTATTATTATTTCTGGGGTATGATCGTCCATTTCCTGATGTTGGTCCACCAAAGTTGATATATTCACAAGAAGTTCTGGAATTTCACTTTCTTTCAGTTGGTAGCGGTAAAGATGGTCATTCAGCTGAACTTTGCTGGGGCCACTTTGACTTGGACTGATTTCACTTGTCGAAGCAGAGTCTTGGTTCCGTGGTTCTACTGTGGTTTCGGGTGATTTGGTTGGGGCGGGAAATAAAATGTGGTTATGTCGGTGACGATTTGAAGCTTTTTGCAAAATAGCAGGTGGCGTTGCTACAACTGATGGAGTTGTGAGATTAGAGTCATGCCCTGTAAATGGAGAAGAAGCAATCGATAAACACAATTAAAAAAATTGAATAGTTTTTTTTTTAAAAAAAAAAGAATAAGAAGCTTTTTCTTTTGTGAAAATGGGATACCTGCAAGTGATGTCGTGTGGGTATCTCGATCTTGATTGGTTGTTGAATGATGGAATTTGTTACCATTAACAACTGTTCTTTCCATTTTATTTCGAGTAAGCCAAGACCGTCAAGTATCAATTCTTTTAAGTGATACATTCTAAATTCTTTCACAAAGATTTTTTTCTCAAAGATTTCAATTCTTTCACTGTATATTCACACAGATACTTAAAACAAATACAGGCGCGAAGTCATGTGGAACATAAGCAAACTAATTATGAATCGAAGTTGCCAGGTACACAAAGCAAAAATTTATCACGGTTACAATAAAATACATAAACAAATAATAAATCTAAGTTTAAAAAAAAGAAGTAGACGAGAACGAATTATATTTCAATTATTTCGATGGCAGTACGGCTCTGTATTCAATTAATTTCACGTTAATTAACGTTCTAATTTATGTGGGAGAAACTAGTCTCAGCTTAACCGCGCTATTTAGATTACAAACGATCAGCTGGCGTTGAAGTCATAGATCAAATGTGAGGGTATGGGAGGTTTTCTTCAAGTGCAAGTACCCAATTGAAGAGTCTTAAATGAAACAAGCAGTAAAAATGAATGGAAAAATTGTCGCTATTTACCTTTTAAAGTCGGGAGATCAATATGATCTATCTTCTTCGCATGTTCGTGGGTGTCATGAATATTCCTATTTGGGTTATCTTTGTGAGCTGCGACATCATGATCACTTATAATGATATTTCCTAGTCCCAGACTTTCTAATAAATGTTCAAACCCTAAAAAACAAAATAAATATACTAATGCTTCAAAGTAACTGATTTATTCGTACAATAAATAATAAAACTGTTCTGTTACTAACGCAATGTTATGAAAGTGATCCAATTATTGGTTACTGAGCAACAAAATTATAAAAGCAACAAAAATATCCCTTTTAAACTGAAACTTTAAGTCGAAATTTGAAAACCAAAAGTTATAATCAAATTTTAGCGTAAACTTTAAATGCGACGTATAAGGTCTGCAACAGAGTTCAATTATAACAAGTTTCTGCTATTTTAACTAACTGTAACAGTTATTCACAGCAATTAACTTCTGATATTGCTTGGCGTTTCAGCTATAGGCCTATTTTGTTTTGATTTTTATCACAACAAACTTAATGAGAAAGACTGCAAAAACTTTTTGGTCGGGTAGGGTAAACTAACCAGTGAAGGAACACTTAAGCTTCGCTTGCCTTTTAAAAAATCATATTAAATTCAAAATTGGCAATTTTAGTTAAATGACAGTGTCAGCATATTTGTTACCGATTGCAAATTATGTAAAAAAAATTGTAGAGAACTTACATAATATTGTTTTACAGTTTTGGAGGTTCAAATAACAAGTAGTAAGAAGACCAAGTGAAGGAACAGCTCTTATCAATGAAGGAACACAAAATTTCCCAGTAAGGGAACACTTAATTTTGGATATTTTTTAATGCTCTTTATGAATTTATAAGCCCTACAAACATTTAAAAGCAAGCCTATTCTTGAAATTATGACATATAAATACTTGGAAAATGTTAACTTTTTTTTAATCATGAATTGAAAATTAAAGTGTCAACTTATTAGCACATACTGTTCATTCACTGGGAAATCTATGCCCAGTAAACGAACATGCCTGTTCCCTCACTAGTTAGAAGTTGTTTTTCGTATTTTTAACATACTTTTCACGCGGAACATCACTAAAGATACAAGAAAATTAAAGTTTATCTTTTATTTTCATTAACTTAGAAAAAAAAACTAGTAAAGGAACACTTGTTCCTTCACTGGTTTTTCATCGCTTGGTGATCTAGTGAATAAACACCCCCTTATCTCAGTACTTTATTATGCTATGATGCTTAAAAAAATAAAGCGTAACTTCAATTACCATATTTTGAATTCTCTTTTTCACAGTGAGAAAAATTAAACTATTACATGCAATTAATTCCACTTCAAGCATATAAATACAAACACTCTCCTTATAATTTTTTTAAAGAAACAAGGCGTTGCAGAGATAATAACAAATTCTAAAATTTTTCCAGAGAAGTCTATTTGACCAGGTAATCCAAAACATTGTTAGATTACTTCCTATTGTTTGGCAGTAAGCTACTGTTACCAATCAATCTAAAGAAAAACTTTCAAATTCTTATTTTTAATCAATATGTATGAAATGTTCCTTCACTGGTTGATTTACCCTATTTGAATTTATCATGCTAATAGTGCGTGATATTGATCTGAAACGTTACTTGCGTTTTGTGAAAGAAATTTTGCTTTTGTCAGAATTATATTTAGAACATATTTCTTTTTAGATATTTGAAGTTTCATTCACTAATTTAGCTGGAAATTTTTTTGACAAATAAGGTTAAGGAATGGAATAAGAGAATGTTTTGTTTTTTTTTCATTTCGGATAATTATATGTCTGTTAAAACTTAAATTTTTATCCCACTTTTCAATCAGAGTTGAACAAAAAGCAATTGATTACAAGTCATTAGTTATTTGTAATCATAAATGATTCAACCACAATTACAAACTTTTTCCTTGTGATTATAATCAATCATAACTTTTGATTACATTCATATTTACAACTCATTCATATTTACGACATTTGATTCATATTTACAACTATTATTAAACAGAGATTAGAAGTCATAATAAATTTACAATTACATTTCATAGATATAAGTAACAGTGATTATATGTAGTCTTAATTGCAAACAGAGTAAGTTATTGTTATTTTTGTAATCAATTAAATTATGACCAACTCTGTTTTTAACTTAGTTTTTGTAGGAATTAGATTGCTAAATGCAATTGTATATTTTTTTAAATCTTCATCTATTTTCATTTACACAAAACTAATAGCTTAATCATTGTTAATTTTATTTTCTAAAATTCTTTTTGTCCTCATAGTTTTCAAGAGACACAAGAGACAATTTCCAATCTATTTTCAACATTAACGGTAAAAAAAAATTTAAAACTACATTAAAGTGAAGGTCTTAACAGAGCGTTTTTTTTCACTACCTTGTTAGATTTGTTGTGCCTTTTTTTTAGCAGCAGAAACAAGTTGAAGGAGTACTATCTTTGAAATAAGATAGATATGACTTATATGGACATGAAAATGAAGCTAACTTTACAAAGTTAATAAATCGAGGTGATCAACTATTTAAATAATCCTTTCATTTGTGAATAGTTAAATAGAAAAACAATTTTTAATATAGTAGTTTTGAAACCTATTAAAGAAAATTAAAAATCTAAATTCCTACTTATAATTTTATTTCAGACATGAAAAATGCATTCAGCATTGCAATTACCTTCAAAGGTCATTTGACCTTCGTGGCCGTATTTTGTAAATATCTCATGTAAAAAAAATCGATGGTCTGACACTGGTGGTGCTGCAGAAGGAGTGACATGTGATTCCTCTTTATTGTGGTCAGCTGCAGATAAGTGACCAGATACTTCATGAAAAGAAAGAAGAAAGCCAAAAAGAATCAACCTCTTACAGCCCATGATTCGTCTTCAGGTTCTACCAAGACTTCTACATAAAGAAAACATGTTTTATATATGATCAACGAATCAAATGAAAGTCTAAATAAGTTTGTGAATGACAAAAAAAATTATATTTTGCATAGAAGCAAACATGTTCTCAGTCTTATAGAATGCTTACATGCATTTTTAATTGCTTCTGATGACAATACCTATCATTAGGAAGGCAACAGTGGATGACCAAAGGGGTATGTGACCTGTAATCATTCTTTAGTCAGGCCATTCTTACCATGATGAGTAAAGCGACATCACAACTAAAGATAATAAATAGCTAATGATCGATTTAATAACCACAATCGTCCGTTATAAGGTTATTTTATTAATGGTCGTTATAAAGTTATTTTAAAGAAGCTGTTAAAACTCTTGTCCTAAGTTCTAACAGAAAACTACCACAAATACTTACTCAACATTAATAAACGAGAATATTTTTTTTATTATGACAAAATCATATGTAATATAACATCTTAATTATCTATAATGTAAAGTTAATTAGAACTTCTTAATCTCTTGTATCTCGAATTCGAAATGTACCACGAGTTTAAATCATTTATTCATTCGCTATTCTAGAGCGAATGATTCAGATCGAACCTTATAACGGGTGTTAAATTTACATTGATTTTATAAAATGGCAAACAGAAATTTTTTTATTGTTATAATGGAAAAGTCGATGCAATAGAAATCATGCTAGATTACACAGACTTTATAAACTTCGCCTGTATTCTTCCATTAGAATCTTGTCGGGAAATTCTAGAGCCATCGATTGCATTCTTGATTGCAATAAGGCAACATTCTATCATTGTATGACACTATTTTTAAAGCACTTATTCAGCAATTACTAAAAGGTGTTCTGCGAACACTATGTTTCTATGAAAGGATCAAAAAAGTTTTTGGATTTTCAAAATTTGGATTTATAAAAATGTATCTATATTTATATTAAATCAATTATTCAATATTTATTTCATTTTTGTTCATGAAATTATTCATGCAAGATCTAATAAAAAAATTTATTTAAAAACATATTTTTCTATAATAATATATTGAACGAAAATATATGAACAAATATGATTTCCTATCACATCTTTCAATTCAAAGAAAATAACGAAATTCAACAATATATAAACTTGTTTCTTCTGATAACCATTCGCAATGTTCATAACTTTATTTAACCGTATTAAACTTTTGCTTAAACAAAAATCATAATTTCGCTTATAAACTAATTTATTAATTTAATTGTTTGTACTACCTTATTGTAAGACTATTATTAATTAAATAAAAAAAATTATAACTCACATAAAATATTTTTAAAATCATCAGTGATGTTTCTTTGGTTAATATGTTTACGACTGCAAATGAACTTTATTTATTAAGTCGAGGTTTCTTCAAATGAAAATTGATCACATAAGCTTCCGTAGCCGGAAAAAAAAATTGAGGACCGCTGCTCTAATCTAATACCTAAAAATTAATTTTTTTTTATTTAGTAGCAACAATTTTTGCACCAGGAGATTTTTATGAATGAAAGAATGATTATGCTCACTCTGTATTCACAAAATAAAAGAAAAATAGTTTGTTTTCTAATACCCCACCTAAAACTGCGAATAGGGTTACTTATACGATTTTTTTTTGAAAATCAATAGTACATTAATTAATAATAGACCATCCTCTCGCATTTTCCCACCTTCTTTCATAAGAAGCGTTTTTAAACATATTTTAATCAAATGCACTTGAAACAAAAATCTATTAAAATATTTTTTAAAGTAAAGAAAAAAATTAAATGCTTTCTTGAATGTTACTATACTTTATAAAAAAAAAAGGTCAACCTTTAATTTACAGTTTGTACCATAAATTCCTTTTAACTTGATGTGTTTTTAAAATTCGTTTAATAAAGTTACACGAAATAAAGCTTATCAACTGAACCGTTTCAACTATTAATATTTAGGAAAAAAATTCAACTAATTATATTTAAGAATTAGTGTATATTTATTCGCGTTTAAATTATTTTTCTTCACACATTTTTTTGTTTCATAAAAGATATTTGTAAGCTCGTTTGAAAATTGACAATTTAAGTATCTACATTTTCTGTTACTTTGAAAATGTAATTTTTTTTACAACAGTAAAGTTCCAAATCGAACTAAAATCCATCAGAAAAAACATTTATTCAGAAGACAAGCACAAAAAATAATTATTATTATTTACAATAATGAGTGTGAAGTGCTTGTGTTGAGGCTTTAGGAAAAAAAAACTATTAGTCAAAACAAGCATTTTTAAAACAATTTCTAATTGAAAGAATTATCAGCCAAACCAAGCAATTTGATTTTTTTTTTAAATTTCCAATTAAAAAAAGAACTTTTTGAAGAACAATGATAAGTTACTCAGTTCACTTTAGAAATTCTTTTTAAACATGCTAATGAAATAGGATCATTTCAAAAAAGTGAAATCTTCCGAAAATTAAATTAATTATCCTTAATTTACTTAGCTAATAGATAATTATCTTGAGTTAATTGAAAACTCTTCTCTCATCAAAACAACGAATGGTGCAAAAATGTATGATTGAGATATTTTCCGAAGAAATCCATAGTATAATATTCAAAATTTCTGATAATTTGTAAATACTTATTCAAAAGCAATAACATTAACGCATTTTTATTACTGAAAGTAGGATTTTAATAACAAATATAATAGTTTGTTTTAATGACTAAAAGTCATCGAAAAATGACTCGCTTAATTCCACGTATTGTCTGCAGTTATTTGTTTAACATTAATTTAAATTTAAAAATATACAAATATATTATTATGAGATACTTTATATGCATTAAAATATTACTAAATATTAATAATAATTACAATAAATATGACATCAGTTTACGATAAAACATCGATTATGATTTAATACTTATAAATGAAACTTTTTGCCACACAAATATACCAAACTCCAAATCCTTTATAAACAATTAATGTTTTATTAGTTTACGATTAAACATCAATTATGGTTTAACTATGATCAATAAAACTGCATGCCACAAAAATGTACCAAATCGTCGCTTAAAGTATAATTAACGATTCAAAAACTATATAAAAATAATGAAATGTAATATAGTAACCTAGAATATAATGACCTATAATATAGTAATCTACAAATAAATGAAAATCATTTGATTTCGGCCGATTGGAATGAAAACTAAGTTGTAAGATTACGAAATACAAAAATTACACACAATTGCTATATTCGTTGTAATAGAATCAAAGAAAACAAAATACAAACCATTCTAATCTTGTAATATCGATACTTGATCAGATTTCGAATATTTTAATATTTATCTTTTTCAACCACTTTATGCGAAGTGGTTCACACGGCACCCCCTTTTTCGAGAAGCCGCTAAAGATACAAAAAGTTCTCGGGGGCACTTTGCATTTTCTACACTGATATGAGAAAAGAAACGGCTGCGAGCCGTTCAAAAGTTATCAGTTAGTCCAATTCAAACACCACTTCACCTGATACAGGAAATGTTATTGAAAAAGAGATCATCTACCTTAGATCGAAATTTTTATTGATATTTCAGTGTCAATAATCTTTTTCAAGAGCAGATAAGGCAATATTTATGCCAGAAATTAATCATTTTTAAATCTTTAAGGATTGGTAAAAATCCAAAATAAACAAGTTGAGACACATTTTAGTGACTTTGTAAAAATACATTTTTGATTGCATAGCAACGTCAGGAAGCTGTGTATAAAATACCGCCTTTTTTGAGGACTTTGGAAAATTATTTATATTGTTTACGCTATTACAGCCAATCATATATTGTAATAAAATCTTAACCGAATTTAAAATTTAATTTTTGCAGTTTTGCAAAAATTGAAATTTATAGATGTAAAAAAGGAAGAATTTTGTATACAACATACTTTAACACTAAAAATTGCTTTATTTAGAGACTATTATGAGTAATTTATGTTTCGAAACTTGGAAAGTAGCTTATTAAATTTTTTTTAAAAAAACTATTTTTAAAATCTTACTTATATTGCGATTTATGAATGTATAAACACATCAAGTCATCTAGAATGGACGTCACCACGTCAAGCAAAACCTATTCGTCTAAACGTCTCGTCTAGCAACTCTCGAGAATGAGCGTGCCTATCTTCGAGCTCTCTTGAAACACGTCTACTTTTATTGCTACCTTCATATTTTAAGTAAATGAAGTTTCATATCAGTGGAACTCTGGGGCTCTATTTAAGGCTCAAGGGGGTTTCGAGATTTTAAACTTTTTAAACCAGCAATGATTTTTGAAACCTATCACTATACACATATCCAAACAAGAAGCTATTATTTCCTTGATATTTCGGTTATTTTAATGAAACTATTTAAGTTAAGTAACAATAAAAAATGTTATAAATTTTTTTTAAAAAATCTTAAAATAATAATATATTAAATAAATAATGAGCATGATATGATAGGTATGTACTTTATTTACGTCCAACTAGAGCTGCACAATGGGTTATTGGCGACGGTCTGGGAAAAATCCCTGAGGGTGATCAGAAGACATGCTATCTCAATTTTGATCCTCTGCAGAGGGGTTGGCTCCGTTGCTTTGGTAGCCCGACGACCTGCTCGCGAAGTCTAGCACTTTACGATAGAACAATTTAACGAGGACCGATACCGCGCACCCTCGATCCCTAGGCAGGCTGATCAAAGTGGTCACTCACCCGCTTGCTGACAACAGCCAGTGATGTTTGACTTCGGTGTTCTACTGGGAACCGTGTCTTTACTTAAAATATCCAACATAATTTTTTTTTTGCCGAAATTAAATAAAAAGGATTAAAAACATATTTAGAATCTTCTCCTCCCTGTCTCCACCCCTTAGATATTTGAATTCGATCAAGAGAGAAAGGACCTTTTAAAACTGAGTTCTCGAAAACTTTTTTCCGTTTGTTAGAATGCTGAAAACAATAAACAAAAATTTCAATTAAATAAAAAATAAATGAAGGATGCTGTGGTGATAA